CTTTAATGTTATGTAAACTTGCCCTTACTTTGAAATTGACCTAACCCGTGTTGCTGTTAACTGCATACCAGTTCTTCTGACTCATAGTGCCCTATGTGCAAAAGAACAAAACACTGCCTTGTCCTGTACCATCCTCACAACTGTTGTTATATTTGAGCCCATTGTTTCTGCCACTGTGTCAATCCATCTTGTTGGAAGTCTTCCTCTTTTTCACTGACCCTCTACTTTTCAACAATGATGTCCTTCTCCAGGGACTAGTCTCTCCTGATAATATGTCTACAGTATGAGAAACCAAATATTCCTATTGTCACTTCTAAGGAGCATTCTGGCTGTAGTTCTTCCAAAACTGATCTGTTTGTTTTCCTGGCAGCCCATGGTACTTTCCGTATTATTTGTCAACACCATAATTCAGACATATCAATTCTTCTTTAGTATTCCTTATTTATTATGCATCTTTCATATACATATGAGGTCATTGAAAATACCATAGCTCATGTCAGGGTCACCTTAGTCCTCAAACTGACATCTTTGCTCTTGAACACTTTAAAGAAGTCTTTTGCAGCAGATTTGCTTAATGTAATACATCTTTTGATATCTTGACTGCTGCTTCCATGAGCATTGATTATGGAACCAAGTAAAATGAAGTCTTTGACAAAGACAGTCTTTTCTACATTTACCATGGTGTTATTTATTGGTGCAGTTATGAGGATTTTTGATTTCTTTACATTGAGATTCAATCCATATTGAAGGCTATAATCTCTGATCTCATCAGTAATTATTTCAAGTCCTCTGTTTTCAGCAAGCAAAGTTGTGTCATTTGCATATCACAGGTTGTTGATGACTCTTCCTCCAGTCAATAGGTTGGCCAGGTACCTGTCTTGCATATTTCTTGATATTGACATGTGAATGCCTCATGTGCTACATCAGTTTGTTGAAACATTTCAGTTTGTATTCTGTCAGTTCCTCGAGCCTTGTTTTTCACCAATGCTTTCACTGCTGCTTTGACTTCTCCCTTCAGTACCATTGGTTCTTGATCATATACCTCTTGAAATGATTGAATGTCTACCAATTCTTTTTGGTACAGTGACTGTGTATTCCTTCCATCTTCTTGTGATATTTCCAGCATCATTAAACTTTCTGCCCATAATTTTTATATTACAGTCTGAGACTTGAATTTCTTCTCCAGTACTTTAAGCTTGAGAAATACAAAGTGTGTTCTTCCCTTTTGGTTTTCTAACACCAGGTCATTGAACATTTCAGTATAATACTTGACCTTAGCTTCTCAAGCTTTTCTTTAAAAATACTCTGTTCAGTTCATTTATTTATCGTTTCTTCCTTTCACTTTAGCTTCTCCACACTCAGGAGCAAGTTTTAGAGTCTCTTTTGAAATCCACTTTGGTCCTTTCTTTCTTTCCTGTCTTTAAATGGCCTTTTTCTTTCTTCTTGTATAATGTTCTTGATGTCATTACACAACTGTTGTGGGTTTTGGTAAGTAGTGTCTAATGCATCAAATCTGTCAGATGGTCTCTAAACTCAGGTGGGATATACTCAAGAGCATATTTTGGCTCTTGCAGACTTCTTTTAATATTCTTCAGCTTCATCCTGAACTTGCATATGGTCAGTTGATGGTCTGTTAAATAGTCTGCCCCTGGCCTTGTTTGGCTGATGATATCAAGCGTCTCTTTTGTCTCTTTTCACAGATGTAGTCAGTTTGATTCTTCAGTTTTCCATCTGGCAAAGTTCCCATTTATAGTCACCTTTCATGTTGTTGAAGAAAGATATTTGCAATGAAGAAGTCATTGGTCTCGCAAAATTCTATCATGAGATCTTCAGCATCACTTCTATCACTAAGGCCATATTTTCCAACTACCGATCCTTTCTTTTTGTGCTAACTTTGACATTCTAATCACCAGTAAATATTAATGCATCTTTATTGCATGTTTGATTGATTTCTGATTGAAGAAGTTAATAGAATTCGTCAATTTTATCATCATTGATTTTAGAGGTTGGCCCATAAATTGATCTTCCTTATTGTTGTTATTAAGTGCCATTGAGTCAGTTCTTAATCGTAGGGATTCTGAGGAGTGGCTGGTGAGTTTGAACCTGTGACCTTGTGGTTCAACCTGACTTTATAGTCCAGTGCATTATTCTGCTGTGCTACATCAGGACTCCAGTCTACCATGTAGGCGTATGGATATTATTATATCACAGGAAGCATTGTACTTCAAGATCAATCCTAAAGTGTTCTTTTTTGGTGATGAATGCCTGATTCAAAATGGCCAATACCAGTACATCTCAGCCCACTAATGCCTTGGTTCTCATGATAGAATTTTGCAAGACCAAGGACTTCTCCATTGCAAATACCTTTTTAAAACAACATAAAAGATGACTATACACTTGGGCCTCACCAGATGGACTACACAGAAATCAAATTGACTACATCTGTGGAAAGAGATGGTGGAAAAACTCCATATAATCAGCCAAAACAAGGCCAGGGGCATACTGTTGAACAGGCTATCAATTGCTCATATGCAAGTTCAGGCTGAAGATGAAGAAAAGTAAGTCCATGAGAGCCAAAATATGACCTTGAATATATCCCACCTGAATTAAGAGATATTCTTAACAGATTTGGTGCATTAGACACTAAAGATTTGTGGATGATATCAAGACTATCATACAGGAAGAAAACAAAACATCATTAAGAGGACAAGAATGAAGGAAAAGACCAACATGGATGTTAGAAGAGACTCTGAAACTTGGTCTTCTGCATAGGGATGCTAAAACAAATGTAAGAAATGAGGAGGCAAATGGAAAATTTCAAAGGTCAGCTCAAGAAGACAAAAGTCAAATATAAAAAATGTACAAAGATCTGGAGTTGGAAGACCAAAAGGGAAGAACATGCACAGCATTTCTGAAGCAGAGGGAACTGAAGAAAAAATTCAAGCCTCAACATGCAATATGGAAGGATTCTATGGGCAAAATATTAAATGATGCGGAAAACATCAAAAGAAGATGGAGGAATACACAGAGTCACTGTACCAAAGAGAAATGATCCATGTTTAACCATTTCAAGAGGTACGATATGACTGGAGCCAATGATACTGAAGGAAGAAGTCCAAGGTACATTGAAGGCATTGTCAAAGAACAAGGCTCTGGCAATTAATGGATTACAAATTGAAATCTTTCAGCAAACTGATGAATTACTGGAAGCACTCACTCATCTATGCTGAGAAATTTAGAAGATAACTATCTGGCTAACTGACTGGAAGAGATCCATATTTGTACCCATTCCAATGAGAGATGCGCCAATGGAATGTTGAAGTCACCGATCAGTAGCATCAATATCTCATATGAGTAAAATTTAGCTAAAGATAATCCAAAAACACTGCAACGTACATTGACAGAGAACGGCCAGAGGTTCAGACCAGATTCAGACAAGGACATGAAACAAGGGGGATTATCATTGCTGATGTCACATGGATCTTGGCTGAAAGTAGAGAATACCAGAAAGATGTTTACTTGTGCTGTATTGACTATGTACAGGCTTTCAATTGTGTGGTTCATGACAAGCTATGGAAAACATTACAGAGAATTCATATCACAGAACACTTTATTATATTCATGAGGAACCTGTACATAGACCAAAAAACAGTGGTTCAGACAGAAAAAGGGAATGCTGAATGATTTAAAATTAGGAAAGGTGTGCATCAGGGTTGTATTCTTTCACCATATTTATTCAATCTGTATGCTGAGTACATAATCTGAGAAACTGAATTATATGATGAAGAAAGTGGCATGGAGCAAGACTCATTAGCAACCAGCAATATGCAGATGATACAACCTTGCTTGCTGAAGGTGAAGAGGACTTAAAATATTTACTGATGAAGGTCAAAGACCATAGCCTTCGGTATGGGTTGGACCTCAGTGTAAAGAAGACAAAACTCCTCACCACTGGACCAATAAACAACATTCATATAAATGGAGAAAATCAATGACTTCATTTGCTTGGATCAACTATCAACACTCATGTCTTGAGTAAAGTGCACCACAGGCCTCAGAGTGACATCTTTGCTCTTTAACACACATTAAATAGGTTTTTCGCAGCAGATTTGTCCAATGCAGTGCATTGTTTGATTTCTTGATTACTCTATGAGCATAGATTGTGGACCCAAGTAAAATGAAATCCTTGAAAATTTCTATCTTTTCTTCGTTTATCATGATGTTGTCTATTGATTTAGTTGTGAGAATTTTTGGTTTGTTTACATTGAGTTGTAATCCAGGCTTAAGGCTGTATTATGTGATCTTCATCAAGCGCTTTAAGTTCTCTTTGATTTCAGCAAGGAAGGCTGTGCCAACTGCATATCGCAGGTTGTTAATGAACCTTTCTCCAGTCTTGATGCTGTATCCTTCTTCATAATGTTAAGCATCTCAGTTTCTTTGCTCAAAATACAGATAGAATAAGTATAGTGAAAGGATACAAGCCTGGTGTATACCTTTCCTGATTTAGTCATTATTTTACTACCATAAACAAAATCCTAAACTCTTAACACTGTGCTTGGAACTCAGTAGGAACTTACTTAATATTTGCTGATTAAACTATTTGTATTATTTGTCTATACTTTGAAAAGACTAGTAAAGCAACAAAAAACCCAGAGATTTATTGGTGGAGATTATGACAGTAGTTTATCTATGTTTAATTAAAGATAACTCAATTTATCATGCTAGAGATTATAATAAATATCTTGAGACAAAATAAGAGTTTTGAAAGAAAGATTAAGCGAAAAAAGAAAAAGAATCGGAGAAATAAGGACTGAACTTTTAGACCTTAGAAAGAGTTTAAGAAGAGACAAATACAATAAATACAAATGATTTATATTAACCTCCTGTCACAGAGTATAAGACAGAGAAGAATTTTAAGAAGGGATATTTTGGTCAATTATGTCAAATACTTTAAGATAATAACTTTTAAAACAAACATTTAAGTTTTTTCTCTTCCCCAGTCTTATTCAGGCTCACCTAGGATGCATTCCTATACAGGACTTTTCTTTGACACAAGATACAGCGAAGATTTTCAGAAATGGCTCACGAATTACAAGATGTATGTTATAGGATAGTGGATTTTCTTTTTTTTAACAGTAGATTTGTATAATAGATTTAATCTTCATAACTTTTTTTTTTTTTTTTTTAGGGTTGTCAGATTTTCTGGCTGCTCAGGAAAATAATTTTGCTGTTCTATTGAACAGTTTGATTTTAGCTAAATGTTTTAGGTGTAAACTTTGGGAAAACTCTCTGCATGTATCCAAACAGCTGGAAAAAATTGGTAGGTACTGAATACAGGTAGGCAATTTATCAATATCTGTAATACATTATTTCTCTGTGAAGAAAATTGTCATATAATGATTATTCTAATTAAAATTTGTTTTTAGATGTAAATAAGTTACTCTAATTTCTTTTTCTTGAAAATGTTTTAATTTATTTCTGCTTAAAGGGTTTTATTTGGAATCAAATGAATAGTGTATGAGAAACCTAATACTTTAATATTCTAATTTAAAAAAATTTTCCAAACCAAGTAAAATTTTATTTTAGTAACTGAATTTAATTTTAGTAATTTCCACTTTTATGACCAATATTTTGTTTTATTGTCAGTGACAAGACACAAAGCTAACAGTTCTGGCATTCCTAGTTGCAGAAAGTTATGCCAGCTATTTATATCTTTATTTTTTCTTGGTTTTTTTTTTTTTTCAGCAACAAGATATTAATTGATCTTCAAAAGATAATGCCTAGTTATTTCCTCTGTATCAGAACCCATTTCAGGCTATAAACTGGAAAACTCCATTAAGTACCATTTACAAAGACTGAAATATGACTAGTGCAGTTTGGAGTTTTCCAGTGTAATGAATTTGGCTTTATGACCCTACTTTTCATCTCTTAGAGAGCCAGAACTCCAAAAAGAGAATTATTATTTCAAACTTTGTTATTTTTACAATTTTGTATGCATTGTCAGTACATTAAAACATTACATAATGCATCTAAAAGGATTGTCTTTAAAACTTGTTATCTTTTAGATAACACCCGTGTCCGCTTGTTTTGTGAGGAAATTCCTTTCTTAATTTCCAGGATGCTTGATATCTGGGTTGGCAGAAGACTGACCAGGGAGTCTTAGGAGCTGGATGAAAGTAACATCTAAGTAGGGGGAAATTCCTGATGGAAAGTTTCACTTTCCTACAGAACTCTCGGGAAGCAAAGTATTACACCCATCCCATAAAGGCAACTGTTCTGAATTGGGAAAGAGGTTCCATGTGACATTTAGAAAATAGCAACTTACAGCAAGATTTTGAAATGAGATTAAATAGTTACTTAAATAGTTAAATAAAAATTACATCAGACCTTAAAAAGCCAGTATTTCTGACTTCTTAGAAAATTGTCAGTCTAGGTATCAGTTGCATTCTATCTTTTCTAGATTGTCAAGCACAGATAAGCATAAGGAAGCACATATTGTCTAATAAAATTTATATAATAGAAAAGTGGGGGAAAATCCAAACAGAAGACAAGTTAAAGTTCTTACTATCATAACAAAGTAATGAGGTATAGATGATGGTGTAAACAGTTGTATGCTCTCATTTCCCCACAACAATTCTTGAAGGGAAAAAACAATTCTTGAAGGGGAAAAAAAAAATAATGAAATCGATCATCTCAAATATCTAGACATTAAAGGGTTGGAGAACCAAGGGGAATAATGAACACTGAATCAAGAAAAAGGTAGCATACAGACATCAGGAGACACAGTATCCTCAGCCCACCCCTACCTCAGCTCAACATAGTCATCTTGGGGTGGCTGTAACTGTTACCCTTGGGCATTAAATAAATCTAGGGTTAAAACAGTATAGAAGACACCGAGTGGACTGGAGGTACTGAGTAATCAGCTCTGGACACAGGTGTGGACTGGCCATCCGAGCAGTGAAGCCAGGGAGCACCAAGTAAGCTTGAAACCCCAGCATTTCACCAGGGACAAAACAACATTATGAGTTCAACGTGAGCTGGAATCACCTTGAATACCTGAAAGGAGCAGTGTGGTGAGAGTTGCCTTTGTGGGATGATTGTGACATTTGGCTTCCAAAGAGTTCTGTGGGAAGGTGAACCTTTTTATTAGGAATTTATCTCCTACTTTGATGTTACCTTCACAAGCCAATCCCCTTCTTCATCTAACTCTAATGACTCCCTGTCAGTCTTCTGCCACCCTAGATTTCAAAACATTATGGAAATAAAAAGAGGAATTCCTCATAAAACAAGCGGACACATGTGTTATCTAAAATATAACAAGTCTTAAAGACAATCCTAAAAGACCCATTATGTAATGTGTTAATGTGCCCAAGATGCAGACCAGACTTTATGTGTAGACAGGTCTAGGACAGATACTCATCATGAAGGCAGTGTGGGCTGGTATACCCAAGTAGGAAGACCTTGGAAAGCATGACAGGCATAGTGTAGCCCCAAATTTCTATAAGTCCCAGGAAAGAACAAAAGTGAACACAATATGGGCCTGACTTTATGAATAGTCAGGCCTGTGACAGACAGTCAATACAGCACATGCTAGAACACCTGAGCAGGCAGACTAGGGACAGAGTGGTGTGGTGACGGCATGAGGGACTGGAATCCCTATGAGTCCTAGAAAAGAACATTATAAGGAGCATAGCACAAGCCTGAATTCATGAATAGTAAAGACACATCATAAGTCAACAACAGCTACTGCTTTTGGTGTGGGACTTTGAGGCTGTTGTACAGGTGATGTCACTGGGAAAGGAAACTTGCAGTGCATCTTCAACAGCTGAAGCTCTGGGAGTAGGGGGAGTCTGAGGCCAGGCTGTGTTCAGAGGGGAAACATTTGAGATTAGCAATCGAAGACAGCCAGTAATCCCAAATTTGGGGAAGGGTGAGACACTGAAGGGGCAAGTGCCCTGATGGGGGGAGTCCAGTACCAGAGTGACATAGACAGTGTCCCTAATATCTCATGGGGAAGCAGCAGCAACAGATGTTACAAGTCATACAGTTGGGTGCTGCAGTGGCACTGCCAGGACTCCCAATCAGGAAGCCTAGAAAGCAATGATGGCTGATGTCAATGAACAGGAAAACCAATACAGAAAGAACCACAGCAGTTATATCTACATGGGGTAGATACATTATATCTGTATGGAGGTGATGCAGAAAATAAAATAAAAACAATGATAAAGTATAAGAAGAACAAACCCTGAAGAAGGGAAAGAATCTAATCTCCAGTACTATTTCAGTAAAATAGTTCAATGTTTCTAGTACAACAAACAGTCACAAAGCATATGAAGAGGTAAAAAAGAATAGCCCAAGCAAAAGACCAAGAGAAGGTTACCAAAACCTTCCCCAAGAAAGAACAGATAAACAAATGCTTTAAAGCAACAATAGTAAGCATGTCCAAGAGCTAAAGGATAACATGAAAAATCTAAAGGAAATTAGGGAAAAGATAAAAGAACAGACAAGAATTTCTATAAAGAGAAAAAAAATACTAGAGCTGAAAAGTACAGTTGTGAGCAATTATCTGGGAAGGGATTTGATCTATCAAGAAGAATCTGTAAATGTGAAGATGAAACAAATTGAGAGGCTGTAATCCAAAGAGCAAAAATAAATAAATAAATAAAGCTTCAGTGGGCTGTGGGACACCAAGTAGAATAATATACACATTATATGAGTCCCAGAAGGAAAACTTGAGAAAAGAAAGGACAGAATTTTTTTAAAAAAGTAATTACTGAACATTTCCCAAATCTGCTGATGAGCACAAATTTACACATCCAAGAAGCTTAACAAACTCCAAGTAGGATAGAACCACCCCAAATTTATTTATACTAGCATATAATTCGCAAAAATGAAAGACAAAGAATACTACTACAGGGTAGCCTGAGAGAGACAAGATATCACATACATAAAAACAACTCATCTCTTTCATTTTGAAAACATGAACCTGAACAGTTGAGGAATGCTGCAACTCTAAACTGTTTTTGAAAACTTTAAATATTAGTGCTTTCACTGAATTGCTCATTTTTTTTCTAATACAGTTGTTAAATATATAAATTTAGTTTTCAATGAGTTGTTTAAAATTTGCTATTTGATTAATTTTCCACAGGTATAACATTGTCAAATGCAATGGTAAATGCAGGTTTAACTTCCTTTAAAAAAATAGAAGAAACAGATGCCAGGGAACTCGAACTGGTATTTAATATTCACTTATTCTAAAGTTACCTAAATTCTATCTTATTTCTAAAACTTACCTTTTATATCTTTATTTCTACCTTAAAATATTCTTCTCAGAGTCATAAATATTAAAACTTATCAAAGTTTTGGGTAATGAGCATTATTAA